TTTTTCCAATGTATATGTCCAAATTTGTTCGACTAGCAGCATGTATTACGAACTAAGCTACGTTTGAATATGTGCACTACTGGATTTTGATTCGTTAGTTATCACGTGACTTGTATGTCATGCTTTCTCTGATAATAAACAATCCCTAAATCTAGAATAATATAGCTAGCTGTTCCACGCCTCTTGTTTGTTTTTTTTCTTATCTGATATTTCGTGATGTTGTTTGTACACTGTCAATATAAATTAAGTGAATTCATCATGCAAAACACAATTGTTTACTAAAATACAATGATGAATATGATGTTGAATTTTTCATTACTTTGACAAGATGGAGAAACAGTATTTGAATCAATAATAAGATTTTGTTTACTCATTGATCAGTGTGTCATGGCATACCAGTTAATCGATTCTAGTGTATGATGGAAAAAGAAACCGGAAGCTTTTAACTATTTTAATTTTTCTTCATATTCTCTGTTGTACATTGTAAAATGATATACATATATAGTAAAGCCCAGGTTTTACATTGATTTTAATTGACCACCAATGGACGACAATGAGGCAAAGCTCTTAATTATACACATTGTTTGTAATTTATGACTATGTATGACTAGTGAGAGTTGAAAATCCCTGTCTCTTTTTAATTCAATAATTTTTTTCAAATATCACCTTTCAAGCTTTAATTGAACAATAGAGTTTGTATATTTAATGACTACCACATCATGTATGACAGAGAGAAGTTTGTAGAGTTTACGACACTAACCCCAAAACTTACTTTTATATACTGTTTAAATGTTTTGGGGATGTTAAAACCCCAGAACTCGCTTGATAAATGCCTTCATTTTGGATTTTATGTTTTCGAGCATCGGCTGATCAATTGACCTTGAGATTTCATTTCCCACCAGGAAAATCTTTGACTGTGATTGGTTGCTATGTATTTTAGTGTGCTATTTTTGTGACTGTCTCAAGGAAGTTTCTATGATGTATAAATAAACGAGAGTTGTATGCTTGCTGTGGGTGTTTTTAGAATATACTTTCTACGCTACATCAAGACTTTCTTGAGTCAGCGGATCAGATTGGCCTACTTGGACGCTGGTTCATTGTCTCGTTCTCGTTTATCAATTAAGGTGAATCCGTAATCGTTTCAAGCATCCTAGTGACGATCATAACAAAATGGTTGCTCTGTTTGTTTGAAGGAAGGCCTCGTGACTTCCGAAGAAACTCGGCTTTCATCATGAAACGTTATAACTCTTCCAAGTCACAGGGTAGAGTTTAAATGGTATAAATCATTTTTTTTACGATGAGTGTTTTTTTAGCTCGTTAATTTTTTTATTGGATAGAGTCGCTAACCCCCTGGCCAACCCTCCTCCTTTATCCAAGCTCAAGGGCTGGCGGCAGCAACCCCAAAAAGGGCGCCAGGCAGAGTTTGAAAAAAATAGTCATATTCCATATATAACAATTATTATCTATGTAATTTGTAATCAATCATTTCCACTTATTTTGATATTGTTTCATTTACAATAAAAACTAAATGTACTTTTTTTAATATAGGGGATAAATATTTTCTGTATATTTTTATTGTCCACATAAATTTTATCATGTGTTTTTTATTTTTTCAAATCACCATAATCATGATTTTTGATGAAATGTCAGTGTTACAATTTTTTTTTGTCTACTTTTATTTTTTTTTTGACTAGGAAACTGAACTAGTTGAATTTTTTCGTTTACATCAAGCTGGTCATCGAAGCAGTTCTGTTGCAGCATTACACGGTGCTGATATGGTAATTTTAGGTTTAGTAAGTGTGAACAATTTGTTTATTATTATTATTATTATTATTATTATTATTATTATTATTATTAATAGTGATAAGTTTCAATGATTTTTTCTGTCAGATTTTTTTGTGATAATCCTTTTCATGTATGATCAATTAATAAATATATTAGGGTTGTAATCGAACTGCTGGGGTTAGGATATTCGTAGGTTACTGGTTTTCGATCATCGATGTCTTAGAAGCATTGCTCCTATATCCTGGGACAGCCGAGTGAGCAACGCTGTTATTAGGAAACGGGTGCTAGGTAAGAATGGCAGATCAATGGATGAAGTAATGAAACTTTATCAGTTGAGGTGGTTGGGACATGTGTTGCGTATGCCTAACCACTGACTGCCTCGTCGAGCTTTGTTTTGTATTGTAGGAGTAGGTTGGAAGAAAGCTATGGGTGGCCAGACCAAAACATGACAGAAATCCATGAAGTCACTGACAAGTGGACTGAGTCATGTCAGTAGTCGCCGGCTACCTGGTCAGGGTCCGCGAGATGATAATAATCGATGGTTAGAGACCCTGAATGACATGGCTCAAAACCGTTTGCAATGGCGCCGATGCATTTATTCCTTGTGTGCCCAGTCACCGACTTCCCCGGCGAGTGATGTTTTATGCTGGAAGAAAGCTGTGGGGGCCAGACCGAAACATGGTACAAACCCATGAAGTCATAGCAACTTGAACTGTTGTACGTACGTACGAAGGTATACGTTGTAGCTGATTGACTGACTAGTAATATATTTATAGAAGTTAGGTGTAAGTCTGTTCGACTGTTATTGATTGTTGAATTTTCCTCTAATTTTAATCAATAATGATTATTTCAAAATATGTAATAATTGCCTAAATTCAAGGGTATTTTCTTTAAAATGTAAATAATATCCAAATCCTAACTCTTGCAATCAAGAATCTCAAGCAAACGAAATAATTTTTAAAAGGAATGATGATTAGTTGGAAGAGTTTACACTGTCATTGAATTTTCGAAAATATCTACTTTATATATATATATATATATATATATATATATATATATATATAAGTATTTGTTGGGGATGTTAGATCCACAGAACTCGCTTGATAAATGCCTTATTTTGGATTTCACGTTTGCGAGCATAGGCTGATCAGTTGACCTTGAGATTTCATTTCCCACCATGAATAAATAAACGAGAGTTGTGTGCTTGTTTGCCTTGTGTTTGCTGGGTGTTTGTGGAATACACTTTCTACGCTTTATCAAGACTTCTCTTTAGCCGTTTCGAGTCAACGGATCAAAGTATCCTACTTGGACGCTGGTTCATTGTCTCGTTCGCGTTTATCGACTAAGGTGTACCCGTAATAGTTTCAAGCGTAAATAGCGACGAACCTAACAGTATTCTACTCTGCTTATAGTAGTAAATAGGATGACATTTATCAACTACTTAGATTCTATGCGTCAGAATACACAGACAAAATTTCAGTTAACCCCTCTTTCCAATGCCAAACACAATCCATAATCAATACACAATAGGCTTTATTCAATGATTCGATACAACATTCAAACAGACTTTTAAAGGTTTCACTGACTACCACTCAACTTTGAGATGGTGGAGAAAACTTGTAGCTCAGGTGGATGATTGTGGTGGTGTTTCGTTCTCTGAGCTGGTTGTTTTGGTTGTGGAGCTTTCATTGTTCTTCTGAACAACATCATCAGCACAAACTTCAGATAGAAGTGAAACATTCGAATTTCTCCAATCAAGATCGAGGTTAGCTGAACAAGCTACAGGTCAAACGTGGAGAAATTCGAATACTTCACGTCTATCTGAAGTTTGTGCTGATGATGTTGTTCAGAAGAACAATGAAAGCTCCACAACCAAAACACCCAGCTCAGAGAACGAAACACCACCACAACCACTCAACTTTAACAAAAAGAAAACAGTTTAAGCAGTTTAATTAAGTTAGGCAAGTTCCAACTTGTTTTATTTCTAGTTTTCCTGTAAACAATCAAGTTTGAACATTTTGAACATTCTGAATACCAGTGAAACAAATTGAAATTTTAAAAAAAGGAAAAAAAGTACCAATTCCATAACATACAAATATTTAGTATGCGAAAAATATTTTCCATCAAATGTGAATAAGTCATAAGTTCATGTTTTTTTATGTTTAAATCATGCATTCAATCTAATCATACATTTTCCACAATATCATATTACACATTCAAATGTGAACATTGTACTCTTTTTCTGTATCCGCCCTTTTTACACACACACACACACACGTACAAACACACAGAGTGATGTTTAATACAGAAATTATCATGACTGAAATGTTCACATGACATTGACACATAGTCAGACTTATTGTGAATGTTGATTCAAACTACTACATATTGTATCTCTTAAACTATTCATACTTGTGATATGTTATGTTATGTTATTTATCTGTTTACTATGAAGTAGTGCTTTATATTCAATCACGAAATGTCTGAAATCTAAATATGTCTTTATTTTATGATTAATATTATTTGTATTATGGGGTTGTTGAGTTATTTTTTGAAATCATTAAATGATCAATGTTATAGACAACCATTAGTAACCTAGATTCATGATTTGGTAAAGTAACTCAACAATCTCCACAACCTCATAATGCATGCATAATACATGTGCTTGCTATCTAGTGACTAGCTTCGTGAAAAAGTTTCTCCAGGTTCTAGTGAGAAGTTGTAACCAGTGGAGTTCAACCTTGTTCGGGTGTGTGTGAAGCAGTGCTCACTGAAGACAGTGGGTGAGGATACGCAAGACCGTGGACTGATCGAAGTTAGACATTAGTGCCTTTAGATTCCAGAAGTTAAGCGTTTGCGCACAAGACCGTAGATCCTGGGTTCGAATCCTGCGAGTTGAGGGATTAGTTCTGATGTGGTAATCAGTCAGTTACAATGTTGAATTTTGTGTGAACGTACATAAGTTCAAGTTGCTATACCGCATTAGCACAGAGACGTAATTGTCAGCTCAGATCCCATGGTTATTAAAGATAGTAGAAGTATTAGCCGTGATAGAGAAGATTAGAGTTCGACGATATTATTCAAGAAGCATAATTCAGTGAGATAAATTTAGAAAGATAATGATAAATGTGATGAGAAAATTCAAAAGCTTAGCATTTCAGAGAACACAAAGAATGGATGCACCTGTGCCATTGAAAACGATTTTAAGCCATATCATTCAGTGTCTCTAACCATCGATTATTATTGTCTCGTCGACCCTAACCAAGTAGTCTGTTCTCATAGAGTATGAAAATTTCTGTTGATAAATATTTTATGCCTAACACAATCATTAACACCAGTCATTTGAAGCAAATGACATTTTTTTTTCAGGTCACTAACAATCTAGTCGATCTTGCTCAACTTATATTCTATCAAATTCATGGTAGTAGGTATTCGACGATAGTTAGTATAACATGTTTAGAACCTTACTATCGCTGTTGTTCATGTAAACATAGGTTCAATGTATTAGAGCTTTCTAAAAATACGAATATAGAATACCGGTTTTCTTTTGGGAGTTTTTGTCACTGATTATCATCCTAAAATTTGTAGTTCATGTTTGAAAAGTTACGTTTTATTGTCATGATAAATTGAAAATTACTACTGAACATCTATCCATCCGATGTTGGATACACTGGGATAGCGGTTGAATTCATTCAAATAGGCTCACTCAAGGTCCTCATAATCTCTATCTTTCTCATTACAAATTTATCTCACTGAGATGGTGGAGAATATTTGTAGCTCAGGTGGATGATTGTGGTGGTGGTGTTTGGTTCTCTGAGCTGGATGTTTTGGTTGTGGAGCTTTCATTGTTCTTCTGAACAACATCATCAGCATAAACTTCAAATAGAAGTGAAGCATTCTAATTTTTCCACATTTGACTTATAGCTTGTTCTGCTAACCTCGGTCTTGATTGGTTGCTGTTGACCTTGAGTCTGTCGTTGTTTGCAGCTTTCTTTTGATTGCATCCCCCTTTTGATCTGTTTCTTGATCCTATGTCACCTATGATTTATGACAGGTTTAAGGTCAACAGCAACCAATCAAGATCGAGGTTAGCAGAACAAGCTACAGGTCAAACATGAAGAAATTCGAATGCTTCACTTCTTCTATCTGAAGTTTGTGCTGATGATGTTATTCAATAGAAGAACAATGATGAAAGCTCCACAACCAAAACAACCAGCTCAGAGAACGAAACACCACCACAATTATCTCACTCAATTATACTTCTCGAATCATATCTTCGCTCACTAATCTTCTCCATTACTGCTAATACTTTTAATACCGCCAGCACTCTTGGATTTGAGATGACAATTGCGTCTCTGTGCTGATGTGGTATGGCAACCTGAACTGATGTACTTATGTATGAAGTTCTGCATTGTATTTGTCTGTGTCTGTCGAACCCAAGGTCTACTGAAGTCAGAAGACTGTTTTGGTTACTCGGAAATACTTACATATATATTGTATACAAATGGTATAAATGTGGTTCTACAATAAATCGTAATTAATTCAATTTAAGCTCAGATTCAAGGTGATAAGACAACAAGCAACACTCAATCATAAGACAACACCCCAACAAGTTCAAAACTTTCTATCTAGACTTAATATATTTCAACCGGTAAGAAAATACTTGAAAAAAAAGGATGAACCTTGACTAACTAATAAGGTAATAAAGTCATCAACGAGAATTTCACTCTCGGTATACTCTATAATAACTCTTCTTGGAGCCCCTCTGGATCTAACTCCCTAAAAAAAACGCTAACCAGAAAAAAAATAATTCAAACCATTTAAACTCTGTCCTTGAGACTTAAAAAGGTTTTCATTTAGAAAAGTTCTAATGTTTCATGATAAAAGTTGAATTCCTTCAAAAGTCATAAGGTGGTCGATCGATGCCCCCTTTTGACAATCAGAGTACAACTAAAAATATTAATTCATGGAATGTTCACGCATTCGTTGGGCAAGTTGCCTGGAAGTACGCCCGATATAGCTATCTGATTTGCTTATTACTTAATGGTTTTAATGTTTTTTAATGATTATTTGAAGTCTATTCATCCACGTTTGACCTACTATTTGTGTGTAACTTAACAATGTTCACAACCCCGTAATGCAAATTACCTGTGCTCACTATTGACTAGCTTCGTGAGGAATCTTCTCCGAGTTCTAGTGGGAAGACGTGACCAGTGAAGTTCAACCTGTTCGGGTGTAGACAGTAACTACCGAAGACTGTGTATGAGGTTGCGCAACTCTGTGAATTTATCAAGTTAGACATCTAACACCGTTAAATACTGGCCCAGTGGTCCGATGGTTAGGCGTTCGCACACAATACCAAAGGTCCTGGGTTCGAATCCTGCGGGGTGCAGGAGTCGTGGATGCGCTCTGCTGAGGAGTCCCATACCAGGACGAAACGGCCATCTCTCAGTGCTTCCAGGTTTCTTATAGTGGTCTGTCATTGATCGATTCATGGTTCCAAAAATGTGTAACTTAACAGTCTTCACGACCCCGTAATCAAAAACTTGAGTTATCATATTTTATATCTTATTTTATTTATTTTTTATTTTTACACATTTGCTTATTACGTCATGGTTTTGATATTTTTAATGTTTATTTGAAGTCTATTCATCAACCTTTGACCTACTATTGATAAAACGTTTGGTATCATATTTTATAATTTTCTTACTACTATCAGTACACCTGTCTTTCTACTATCAACTTGTACTTTTGCCTATTATTATGTGTAGTGACGTAATCTTTTACATTTCATTGTGATTATTGACTCAAATTGCCTTGATTTGTTTAACATTTTCATATAAATATTCATGTATATCAAAGAGTAAAAAGCCTGATGACGATCTAATCAAAAAACAATAATATTCTTCGCTTATATCGGTCGGTTTTTGTTCTGATTTTCACAATGTGGTAATCTTTAAAATATTCTTTTTTTGCTATTATCAGATACATCATGAATTGGCTCGTTTACATGCATCTGGTCGTTTAAGTTTACTACATCGAACTGGTCACAATCGATTCATCAAGTCAAACGACACCAACCAACAATACAACCAGTCTTCTGCCAAAAGTACTGGATCAAAACGAAATGGTGATCAATTGGATGAATCACACGCCTCACAAACTGTTGACTGGCAAGCAGTGTTATTTCATATGGAACAATCAGCAAAACTTGGTTGTTTAGATGCAATTCAATGTTTAGCACAATTTTGTTTGAATTTAATGATCGATGGTCCATTATCTGGTTGTCCAATAAAAGTTAGTTTATGAAATTTTTATTAATCGATACAAGTACAGTATAGTACAGAATATCTCCCTTAAAGACTAACGCATTCATTCAAGATGAGCCTTGATTAGCACCTCACATAATATATCTTGTACTTTTATCATTGTTGAGCTTGTATGCGCGCATGTACGCTTGGGCATTACTTGCTACCTACACATATAGTTAGTTAGTTGACTAGCTGTATCGATCATTAAATAATTTGAATAATAAAGAGATTGTGGCAACGACTCGTGTTCTGTAGTAGCGATCATCAAGACAGAGATCTACGGGAAATCGAAGATAACGAAAGTTTAACGCCACAATCTGTTTGTGTCCAATAAAAGTTAGTTTATGAAATTGTTATTAATCAATACAAGTACAGTATAGTACAGTACAGTACAGTACAGAATATCTCCATTAAAGACTAACCTGATTCATTCAAGATCAGCCTTGATTCACAGATTATCATCATTGATGCCTATTGTGAATTCAATTATAAATGGATTAGAATTAGTCATTAAGAATTTTGGAGATAGCGAACCTAGTGTAAATAATAATCGCTACGTCATTGAAAAACGCGGAATCACTGAAAAGCGATTTTGTCTAAGTGTGATCATTCTCAACAGTGTATACAAACGATTTCATGGAGCTCTAGCAATTGAACGCGAACACTTAACCTATGGATCATTTAGCTGGTATCCATTAGTGTATATTATCTAACTTTATATAAATAATTTTTGCTTAGGGTTATTATTATTTCTCAGTGAAAGTTCAAATTATCTCATTGGAATCATGAATGAATCATTGTTAAAACACCATTAAAAACATGAAAGTACTGGACCACTGTTTCATTATAATATAATATGGGACTCATTAACAATGCGCCTCCATCACCCCTCGCCCACTGGAATCGAACACATAACACCTTCGGTTTCACGTGCGAACGCTTGACCTCTAGACCATTAAGTCGGCATTCAACAGTATTAATGTCTAATTTCATTCAATCCAAGCTTATTGTGCAACCTCACGCACTGTATTCAGTAGTGAGCACTGCTTCACATCTGAATAGAGTTGAACTCCACTAGTCACAACTTCTTACTAGAACCCGGAGAATTTTCCTCATGAAGCTAGTCATTAGTGATCAATTCATGATTCCATTGAAATCTAACAATCTTCTCAAATCTATAATTAAAAATTCAAATAACCAAAGGTTCTAGTAATATTTCCAGTTATGTTAATTATTTCCTAAAGACACATTGCTGATAAATAATCCGCTTGATCTATGTTGGGGATGTTAGATCCTCAGAACTCGCCTCATAAATGCCTTATTTCGGATTTCACGTTTGCGAGCATGGGCTGATCGGTTGACCTTGAGATTTCATTCCCACCAGGGAAATCCATGGCTGTGATTGGCTGCTGTGTATTTTAGTGTGCTATTTTCGTAACTGTCCCAAGGACGTTTCTATGATGTATAAATATAAACGAGAGTTGTGTGCTTGATTGTATTGTGATTGCTGGGTGTTTGCAGAAATATACTTTCTACGCTTACCAAATCTTCTGTTTCGCTGTTTGGGATTCAAGGTAGCCTACCTGGATGCTGGTTCATTGTCTCGTTCTCGTTTATCGACTAAGGTGAACTCATAATAGCTTTAAGCGTACCTAGTGACGAACTCTACAATCTAATGGTAAAACCTAAAGGGAATAAATAAAACTTATAGAATAATGTGCATATTTATATATGTGACATCTTTGATGTGATTTCTCTAGGAGTTATGAATTTGTACATTGGTGAAAATATTTCAACCATAGATTTGAATTTCAATGTTGTAATGAAAATAAACATCTGATTACTTGTAAATTGTATGTTGTGGGCATGCATTACACTATTTCTGTAAATTATCCAACGTTTTACTTAATCACTGTCGAAATGATGAATCGATCATTTTTTCGGGCAGAGTTTTGGAGGTTTGTGTTTTTACACATTTGAAGTCATCAATCAATCATTGTTAGACCATCATTAGGAACCTGGAAGCACTGGAAGGCCGTTTCGTCCAGTTATGGGACTCATCAGCAGTGCGCATCCACACAAAACTCTGCCCCAAAATATCTTAACAGTGCTCACTAGTGTCTAGCTTCGTGAGGAAATTCTCGGAGTTCTAGTTGAGAAGACGTGACCAATGGAGTTCAACTCTGTCGAGTGTAGGCAGTAACCACCGAAGACAAATGGGTGAGGTCGCGCAAAATCCCTAGATCAATCAGAGTTAGACATTAACACCACTGGATGCCGGCCCAATGGTCCGATGGTTGATCATATTGAAAAATTGTTTATGATCGAAATGTGTAATTTTTTCTTGATATGAAATTCTCGGACCGTGCAGATTATGAATTTGATCACACATTAGAAACGTGGATGCGCACTGCTGATGAGTCCCATACCAGTAAAAACGGCCGTCCAGTGCTTCCAGGTTTCTAACGGTGGTCTAACATTGATCGATTCATGGTTACAAATAAAACTTAACAATCTTCACAACAACCCCGCAATGCAGTTACATGCGTTCACTAGTGACTAGCTTGGTGAGGAATCTTCTCCGAGTTCTAGTGGGAAGTCGTAACCAGTGAAGTTCAAACCTGTTCGGATGTATACAATGTATGAGGTCGCGTAACTCCGTGAATTTGATCAAGTTAGACAGTAACACCGTTAGATACCGGTTCAGTGGTCTAACGGTCAGGGCGTTTGCGCACAATACTGAAGGTCCTGGGTTCGAATCCTGAGGGGTGCAGGAGTCATGGATGCGCTCTGTTGAGGAGTCCCATACCAGGACGAAACGGCCGTCTTTCAGTGCTTCCAGGTTTCTAATGGTGGTCTAACATTGATCGATTCATGGTCACGAATAAACTTTACTACCAATCTAATCGAACCACATGTGAATAAAAATAAAAGTTTTTAATAAGACGCAGTTTTCTCATCTCTCAAGTGTTTAGTGTACTTGATTTTTTTTTCTATTTTTTTTTCTCAAACTTAGCCTGATCCATTGGAATCTCGAGCTCGTGGTTTCGCTTTAATGAGTTCAGCTGCATCAGCCGGAGATCGTATGGCTATGCTTTATTTAGCTGAAGCTAATTATCATGGAGAATATTATTTTCCGGAGATTGGTAATGGTTACAATGATAGTGGTATTAGTAGTAATAGTAGTAGTAGTAAGAGAAAGAAACGAGAACCTGACTGGTTAGCAGCTGCTCACTGGTATGAAATGGCAACTAAAGTTGTTGATAGTCCAGATGCCTCAGATAATGGCGACAATGATGCTGATTCAAATCAAAACAATCCGTGTTTGGTTAAACAAACTCGTGCAGGTTTTCATTCTTTATCCGAATGGCCAATTTATCGTTTACAAGGTCGTTTAGGCGAAATGTATGCTCAAGGTGGTCATGGTTTAGTCCAGAATAGAATGAAAGCTTGTAAGTTATGATTATGTTTTTTTTTTAAAAACTAAATTAGATTATGAAAACTTAAACCATACTATTTTTATATGTTATATCAATTAACCACCCTCTATTTGGTAAGGGTAATTTTGACATTGGTTTTCAGGAAAACCAAGGAGACTGCCCATGTGTTAATATTTCAACGTGAACAGTTCGGTATCTGACACCCTGGTGGACCAGTCACACTATCTATATACACTAGTACATATATAGTGATTATTTCCGATCTGTGATCGCGTCAATTTGACTGATCCTGCTTATATGACTGACTGTCAAACTCATTATTATTAACAATGGTGATATGCACTACAGCA